ACTAGGGTCACATCCACAACGCCGCGCATCTTATGTACCCTCACCTTTATCACCTGCATGGTTCATTTTCATATGCAAAGCTCAGGCTATGTTTATCTGAACACACTGTGCTCTGGTCAGTGGAGCACACAGAGCATGGTCAGATATTGACACAACACACGGAGCAGCTTCTTGTATATCTCAGCTGATTTTGATGGAATTTTTTTGGGAGTTATATCTGGCTTGGTGCCATCTTACATAGTATTTGTTTACAGGACTGGAGAGCACGAATTGTTCTAGTGTTGCATTCCTCAAAGGAGAGTTTCAGAAGCATCACAAGACATGTTTGCTTACCTCTCCCACGGCTGCCGTTTAAGAAATATTTGGCTTTATTGTTACTGATTAAGCAATCCATCAACTCATAACTAGTCAAACAACACATGCTAGTGAAACACAATGAACCCTTCCCTCCAGAAGCAACTTAAACACTCACACACGTACAAACACACACACACACATGCACACACAGACACACACAAAGCTCCCATTCATCTACTTTGCAGTTGTACTGGAGCAACCACAAAACAGAAATAACAGTTAGCAGCAAAGGTGGTGAGAGGTGGGAAGGGAGATTGAGACTGCGCGGGGAGGAAGGGGTGTGGGGGGAGTGGGGAGGGTGGGGTAGGGTGGGGGTGGGTGGGGAGACAGGTCGGTTGATGCTAAATAAGGCTTTGTTTCCACCCTGAACTTGGGTTCACTGTGACTTGGTGAGTTTACGGCACGATAAAAATCTCAACGGCGATGATAATGTAGTTCACACCTTCTAATGGAAATATCAGGTTGACAGATTTTGAGAATATAATGAAATTTTATGTTTTGCTTCTTTTTTTCCTGTTTTCTGTTTTCAAAAGTCAGATAAGATCTTTTTTTTTTTGTTCCAAATGCAGGTACACAAGGCAAAACCAAACATAAGATAACCGTGCTGTGTCAAATAGAAGCTTACAGTACCTCGTGCTTGCATTTCCACTGTTGTATCTTTAAAAAGTTCATAATGAGCTAAGCATAAGCACTGGGGAATTTCCTATTTTTAAGATGTTTTGCTCATTTTATACATACAGGAAGCTTAATTTATCTGGTTACCTCATTAGGGTCATTGCCAATGCTTTTTGTAATGTTTCGTAGGGTTAGCAAAACTATAAAGTAGTTTTTTTAAGGTTAGAAAAAGAAATAGGTAAATGTTACGTGCATTCAGCTATTCAGCTTATGCTTACTGTTAGAGAAGGCTAACTCATTCTTACTGTATGGGAAATGAGGTTAACCATGATTCAGCTTTCTCTTCGGTATATCCTACGTTACCATACGTTCGTGCTAACACCCCAGCCTCTGCGTCTCTCTCTTTCTGTGCACCAGCCGCAGAGTTTCTGTGTCACAGAATTAGCGAGATTTAAACCTATGCAATGATCCGTCGTGGCCAAAAGGTATCCATCATGAGTGTGTCACTGCTTTTAAGTGGAAAATCTCATTTTAGTTCACGCTTATCTGAGAATGCGTCAGTTCTCAGAAAAACATTTTTCTTATTGTTTTGGTTTTTTGCTTATTCTCTCTCACGCCTCTCATCTGTGGTGCTTTCTTTCAGAGAAAATCATTCCTCCAGGAGTCAAGGAAGAACAAAATAGAGATAATGTTGCTACATACACTCACCCACTACATCTGTTCAACTGCTCATTAACACAAATATCCTATCAGCCGATCACACGGCAGCAACTCAAAGCATTTAGACATGTAGATGTGGTCAAAATGACCAGCTGAAGTTCAAACTGAGCATCAGAATTGGGATGAAAGGTGATTTAAGTGACTTTGAACATGGCATGGTCTGATTATTTCAGAAACCTACTCAACTTTGAAGCAGATGGCCTACAGCAGCAGAAGACCACACGGTCACCTAAGAATAGGAAACTGTAGCTACAATTTGCACGGACCATTTGACAATAGAAGAGTAGACAAATATTGCCTGGTTTGTTGCCTCCAGCGGTGGTTGGCACAGAATTTGGTGTGATCATGAAAGCATGGATCCATCCTTCTTTTAATCAACTGTCCAGGCACTTTCTGAGTCTTAGTACCTACTCAGCATCAATTCACTTCCCAGTCTACATGAGTATTATTGTTTACTATGTCCTTTGGTGCAAGTTTGTAGCTCAAAAGCCAACTGATTTTCTTTATAAACAAACCAGCAAGCATTCGCTCAAAGGACCACCTTGTTCGAGGAAGCATGTTTGTACTGTGTCAACGTCATGGTCAACGTATGGTTTGTTTGTGCACCGTTGTGGTTTGCATACACTCATTGTGAGCATGAGTGTTATGGCAATTTTGGGCTTTGAATGATGTCTTTGAACTCTTCTTTTTCTAGAATGGTATGATTGTACAGTACACATCTTTAATGACATGCACAAGTTCAAACTCATTTTAGATTTTCTCTTAATTCTACAAGTATACATGCAGGCTCACATACATATATACACCCCTACTAATATTTGGTCAAATGTCCCTTAGCAAGTTGTACCTCGACCGTATGCTTTTGGTATACATCAACAAGCTTCTGTCATAATTCCGACTGGAAATTTGACCGCTCTTCTTGGCAGAGTTCATTTAAATTAGTTGGTTTCCTGTCACAGACCCAGTCTACAAATCTTCAACAGGGTTGAGGTTGGGGCCTTGGGAAAATTAGCCGTATAGTATGGGGGCTATATGTATACATTAACCCTCTGTGGTTGAGAAAAAAAATCTAATTTATAGTCAATAAAGATGTATACTGTCCACAATTATTCTGTACTGTACAATCAAAGGAACAGTTAGAAATCATCAAGAACTCATTAAAAGCCAAAAATTACCAGGACGTTCATCCTGATCATGAGTGTATGTAAACCACAACTGTATTATGGGGGACGACGAGTGTACAACAAGTCAAGCAGTTAGCAAGTCAACTACCTGGCTAACTAATGCTTGCTATCCTTTTCAGTTGCTGAAGAAGCTAGCGGTCTCTCCTGTAAAAAAACAAACAAACAAAAGAAACATTTTTTTGCAGACTTTACAGGAGCTACTAAAAGATGTGGTCCTTATTTCAACCATGATGTGTAGTAGTTGTTTTTCGACTTCAAGCACGTTGTCATGTCCCACTAAATGCTCCATCAGAGGGTAAACATGAAAAAGACCGGCAGATCAACCTGTAACAACATGCTCAGACTCGGAGTGGCAGTTCCAACTCCAGCAGACTTCATTTTAGCTGAAAGGCAAAATTATTTAGGCTCTCACAAGTTATTTATATGATTTGTCTATCTAGAAAAGTACGCGGTCAGTATTCATAGATTTCTTATGCAAGCAGTTCAACTGCAGTTCCAACCAGTTTTGAGAAAAATAACCTTAAAGCAATACGTTAAACATTTATCCTTTTCAATGATTTCCACCCCTTGTATGAACCTTGATTAGTATCTGTCTGTCTGTTCAGTATATGTATCAGAGTGCAAAAGAGGTCACAGCCATGAAATGAGCCACGTGCAAGCGCATGTGCAGAGGTATAACAGAAGAATTCAAATGTCAGACCAAGGTGCCACCCACACGGCCTCCCTCAGCTTACTGTGGTAGCCTTCAACGGCCTGTCGGCTAACCAGTCCTGGGAAACACCTTCCTAGCATCAAGCACAACAGCATCACATGCAACTAGCAGCTAGCAGGTGCTGTAGTACTGTACTGCTATACTTAACAACGAGAGGAAAGTAGTTATCCCACCAGACTACCTGACATTCGCTGTCTGTGGTGGTGTGAATGTGTATTTGCACGTTTGTGCATGTGTGTGCACAGTATGCGTGTCCGTACAGTATGTGCATGTCACTAGGTGAATCTTTGTCAGTGAGGTTTCTCTGGCAGCAGGAGAGGATGCAGAGCACAAGCCACTTTTAACTGACTGGGGTAAACAGTGATGAGAGAAGATAAAGGGCAGAGTGAATGTCACATTACCCCAGCCCTTTGCTTCTGCTCACCACAACATCAGATAACTGCTGCAGGAAAAAAAAAGTCTGGTTTCCTCTAGCATATAATTGGTTATCTCATTGCGATCTACTGTTCTCTTGCCTCTGCACAGAACGAAGTATAAAGAGCAAAGGGAGAAAAAAAAAGTCTAAAGTTTGACTGTTCAGTCAGTGACTAAAATAAATCATTACGAGCGTAGGAAAGGCACCAATCTATTTTCATGGTGGTTGCCACAGATTTAAACATTTAGCACAAAAAACAAATATACAAAGAGAACACCTGACAATAAGGTGGTGTTGTGTTCGCTTTCAAGCAACCTTTTAGAATAGCACAAGCAACGCAACATAGACAGGTTAACACACAACACGTTGACTTGACTAGATAGGGAAGTAATATTGATTATCAGCAACAATATCTAACAACTTATTAGCTCAGAGTTAAGTAAACAGATAACATTTCATATGAAATGAAGCTATGCATTAAAAAAACAAGGTCTGTTAGAAAGAACTTTGGTATATTCTGTCAAAAAGACAGCTTTTGTTATAAAGAGCCTCATGAGATCTTTAAATAAAAAGTAAAGGTAAACTCTAAACATGTCAAAGGCACTTTATTTAGAGTTAATGTGTCTCTCTGGATGCGACCTGATCATAACATAACACATCACCATGTGACTTGATCATAACAACTACCGAGGCGTATTTCGCACCTTCTTCATGTTTTCACACATACCGTAATTAAGAAACTCCTGACATGATTTATAGATTCCAGTAAAATGGTTGCCTTTGAATAGAGACACTATAAATGATACATATGTGTTCGCACATTTGTGTATAAAATATATATGTGAAGGTTCTCATAGGGAGCTCGACATAAATACAGAGAGCAATTTCATCTCAGCATAAAGCCTCCAGAACTGACCAGGGCCCAGGATAGAACCTTGAGGTACACTTTTCCAAATCAACCGGCTAGGGAAAAAATAAGGGGGCTTGGCTATCTCACCACAGCAGTGGGTAGTCTTTTCCTAGATGGATTGATGGCCGGAGAGGGGGCAGTGTGGAGCCTAACCCCTCGCTCACCCACACTGTACCGGGCCTGTGGTTAGAGAGAGCGAGAGAAAGAGAGAGACAGCGAACAGGAAAAAAAGAAGAGAAAGAGAAGACAAAAGCAGAGAAGGAAAGGAGACGACAGGGCTTTAGATTGCAAGGTACAAGCAGGGCATTTGTAAAGGGAACATGTCAAGCCCTCCCGCCCTCTGTCGTGAACCTTTCTCTCCTTCTCCCTTTCTCCGGTTGCCCTGCTCTTCCTCTAGTACGCCGCGCACGCGTGGAGGGGGAGGAGTAACGACATGAGAATTACACAGTGACATGCAGCGCTGTGCTACGGGAAGAATGGAGGTTAATGAGCTGACATACCCTCCACCTCGAACACGCCTCCTCCCCATGCCAACCTCCCTGCTCTCTTTCACACGCTGACAAGCATGTACACAAAAACCCCGGCAAGACAGTGAGGAGTGAAAGCTGGCAGCGAGACAAGTTTTGGTGCACCAAAGGAATGTGGCAAGAGCGCAGTTTACACTCTCTTCACATACAGTGCACACAGCTCACAGCTGTAACTGGGTTATGAACAACTGTGAACATGAGCTAATGTAATTTACATTAGAAATATGGCCTCAGCTAATGCAATCAAGAACTGGGAAGATGCAAGACTCGTTATGCATCAGAAATCAGAGGCATAAAAATATATGGCAAAAAGTCGCTGTTAAAATTCCTACATTTGATCATACTTGTACTGTACTATACTATAGGTGAAGGGACACCAACAGCAGAATGGAGGCAGCAAGTGAAGCAACAGGTCCACTTTGACATGCAAAATAATGTGAAATTTTTAAAAAAAAAAGTGGAGAAATTTAGCAGCGTTGGGACTCACATATATCTGGTATTATGAGGATTCATCCTCGCCTGGCTGTGAACGTATCTACCAGCGTGTCAAGAGCATTTATTTCTTCATTCATAACCCATAAAAAGTTACGCTGCTCATATAGCTAAAAGAAACATTCAACCACAAGTTTTACCAACTTGCTAAACACTATAAAATACAAATAGATAAAACAGCCGATTTATTAAGGGACAATTGTATTTCGTGTCCAGACCACAAACCAAAGGCTATACATATCATTTTCTTACTGCAAAGAGCTCAGACTTCTGTGAATAACTGATTAGGCCTTCAGATTCTCAACCATTTCTTGGTTGTCACGTGGTGATGTGTGGGTGTATAATATGTTAAATAAAACCTCAGTGGCCTTTAAGTTGCATCACCAGAAAACCAACACGCAAAGGTGACAATTTTTACCAGATAAGAGTCCATGGGTTCTCAAGTATGCACAGACACAAATAACACAGAGGGGTAAAAAAAAACAAAACCCAAAAAACAGCCGGCTTCAAAGGAACATTTCAGAAAAACTTTCAGCAAAGAAAAACTTAGCTGAACACCAAGTTCCTACGAGCACAGGTGAAATTCACACGACCACATCTAAAGATAGGTGCAGATGCACTGAAACACTGAAATTGTGCCAATTTTGTTTATTTTCCAAATCTGCAGTTGCCTAAACTGTGTATAGCCTGTTCATATGGCTCAATTTCATCCATCTATTGATTGGTTATAGGATGCTACCATTTAGGGATAGAGACAAAATGTCTCTGCATGCATCCTGCTGCAGTTGATGTGCCTTAATTACCTGAAACTAAATGAGTGAAAAGCACAAGAGTAACAAAACAGCGTCTAAGAAATGAAAGAACTTTAGCAAAAGCAGAAATAGAATTGATAATGATGCGGCGACACAGCTCCGCAGAGCTTGAAAACAATGGAAGATGGATGGTTAGTCATTAGCACCCATTGTGAATCTTTCGAGTGAGTAATTTGTGGGAAGGCTTGTGCATTTTTAATAGTCTTAAACTGAAGAGCCCTAAGAACACAAACTCCATGAAATAATAACAGGCATTTCACCTTAGCACTATCCGAGCCTCTCAATTATTTACCACTAATGAATTGCCTTGGGCAACATTCTTCCTAAGTACAATATCAACCATCCCAGAGAGCCAGAATCCGCTCACTCAAATACTTAAATACATTTACTCAATTATGCTCACTGTCCCCGCAATTAAAGAGCCAAGAATGTCAAGCTGTTTTCTGCTTGCTGTCTCGTATGCTCTGATTCAGCTTTGATATTTCAGCTAAACTCTTCCCCCGGATAGCAATGATTAATTGATAAAAACATTTTCAGAGAAATTGCAACAACCAGGTTCGTGGCTTTTTCTCTGTTTTTGCATCTGTGGTGTGGGTGATGCTAAAAAAAAGCATGTTAGCTGTTAGCAGCGACATATCAGAAAAGCAGGCTAGCAGACACCATCTAAAACACCAGTTGCAATGGCGTACGTATATGTAAGTGTTAGCAAGTGTTTATAAAAGCACATGCTTTATATCTGTTCACGTGGAGTGACAAACCGTGTTATGCTCTATTATTGCATTCAACATTTTTATCACCGCACGATCGGAGAAAAATCACACCCATGTTATTTCCACTATGTAACAGGTCAGGTCAGGCCTGACTAGCTTTAGTCAATTCCATGCTCTCCAGCTGTAAGTCTCTGGCTGTAACTACGTCAGAGAAATTAATGCGCAAAGGATCCTGTTCCTAGACAGCTGGTAGTTGTAAATTCCTATCAGGGAATTAAAAAAATGTATAAAAAAAAAAAAACACCAAAAAAAAGGAGGGAGCGAGAGAGTTTGAAAGAAAACATATACAATTTTCATTTCAACTGCTTTAGGGATTAAGGCTCAGGGCTCTAGAAAAAAACTGCATTAAAATAATCCACCATTTGCATGTTTTATCTCACAAAGGAGGCTCACATAGACACACATATGCAACAACCCCCACTCTCCCTCCCTACCGCCCTTTTCCTCCTCCCCCATTCTGTTTGAGCACACACACACACGTGCGCACATACACACACACACACATCACACATGTACACGCTGCCATCATTAAACACACTCACACACACATCGAGATCAACCTGCTGCCATCTGCTCCACGCGCTCTGTACAATCCTTGCAGAATACATTATTCACTACAATACATCACATCACATTCCCTCAATGTCATAGCCTTGTGCTTGAGGAAGACTCTGTGTGTGTGTGTGTGTTGCGAGTGTGTGTGTGTGTGTGTGTGTGAGCATGCGCGTGTGAGAGAGAGAGAGAAGATTTGCTCTGTTATACGGTAGAGTGGTAGAGAAAATTAGAGACAGTTTTATTTGGCTTTTAGGTGAAACAAGACTGTCAGCAAAACTCGTGTCTGTTACTAGGCCAGATTAAAAATCCAGACAAGGATGTCAGTGTATGAAAGTGAAGGATAACAGCTACTGAGAAAGTGAGAGGAACTGACACATACAAGCAGGAGAGAGAGAGACAGAAGGCAGGAGTTTTTTTGTTACACACTAGGGTCTGCTTTCGTGAAGGACATTCCTCTCAGAGAGTTATCAGGTGTCAAAAGTATGATTTAGCATTTCTCCAAATGTAAGCACATTTTTCACAGTTCATTAATGTGTTTACATTATGCTTTATATCCCTGTTTTTACTGAAGGGGAAGTCGGGGTCGTACTGCGCGGTTTTATTTATTCGATGTGGAGCAACTTTTGGTTTCTGAACTTAGTGGAGAGGAAGAGAGCGAACACTGGAATAAAGCGGCATTTATCTAATGGTCCACCAGTGGAAAATGACGCCACACACGCACAGTAGCTTGGACTTCAAGTCTCAGAGATGACGTAGTTGTATTTGACTTTGAGCAAAGACTTGGAAGAATGAATTCATGTTGGGTTTAGTCTGCTTTTGTTATTTGTTAATAAGAAAAATCCCAGTTTTATTTTTAATGCAGCGACTCTGCATTTGTATTATTTACTTTACTCCAATTGCTTCACTTGATTTCATTTGAAAGATAAATACAGAAACATCGATTACTTTTTTTTTTTTTGCTTGTTTACATTTTTGTCTTTTCTCCCTATCGTTTCTTATGCGCAAACCATGAACATGTTAATGCATGTGTGTCGCTATGTGCGGTGGCAGAGCGGAGGGAGGGAACAGCTGGCAGGCCCACACTCAACCACGTATTGACCTGTTTTGCATTCACCTGTTATTCAACCTAATGTTTCCACTTGGCTCTGCTGCAGCTGAGCTACAATTAACCTCGCTGTGCGCGCAAGGGAAGGAAGTCTTGAGTAATTTTTTTTCAAAGCAGTTCGTCAAACTTCCCCAAATGTCATTCTGCCCACTGTCTTAAAATTAATGTTTTTTACTTTAACTTTCCCACTCTGAAGAGAAGAGAGGCGAGACATCTAACCCTTCTGAGATCTACAGTTGCTATAAATGTGGCCTATATTCACACAGCGCTAAATTCTTTTCACTTGATGCACGTAATCTGATTGCAGATAATTAGCCTCTGAAAATGTTACTTGCCTTTCTAAACCTCATGAATGACAGAAAACGCTGCTGCATCCAACCCTTCCCTTATCTGCTCTTCACTCGGCTACTCCGCCTCCTCTCGCTTTTTTCCCACCCTCCATTTCCCCCTCCCTCCTCTTTTCCCAGATGCCCTCTCAGCTCTTGCTTGTGTTTGGGCTGCAACTGCGAGGGGTCACTGCCTGCCTTGTCTCACACGTGGAGCACTGAGAACGTGTGTGTGTGTGTGTGTGTGTGTGTGTGTG